CACCCACAATGGGATTTTCTCATAAGTTTGTGCTTGACTTTTTTGCCATATCATCCCTAGGGCCTTCCTAATACTGTGTTCTCCAAACTGTGAGTGTTCCCTATATTTCCCATACCATACATATGCGTGCCATCCCATCTTTAAGTCGTGTCCCTCTAGTTTCATAAGTCTTTGATTTTCTAAAGTTATCCATTCTTTAATCCAGGTCATCGCACAGGCCTTATAATATAATAACCAATTCGGCAAGCCCACTCCCCCCATTTCTTTCAGATCTTGTAGCAGTTTAAGTTTTATGCTTGGCTTCTTAGATTTCCATAAAAAATTTGATGTTAATCTGTCCAAATCCTTGAAGTATTTAAAATTCAATGGGAGATTTTGAAACAGGAATAGGAGTTTAGGTAAGATGATCATTTTTATTGCTGATATTTTACACATAAATGTGAGTTGTAGTTTGCTCCACTCCTCCAGATTTGCAAAACGATGTTTTAAATGAGTTTTTTTCGCTGTGTGATGATCGGTTCCCTGCTTCAAAATGGCTGCCGGCTGAAGAAAATGCCCCCTCCCCGCTATTTTCTACGATGGATTCCTTGCTTTACAGGCACCGAAAATGGCTGCTGTATGGAGGATCTTCACTGGACGAGCAGGTATTCAGCCCAATGGAACACACTGAACAGTTTTCAATGTGTTTCAATGGTTGTTTTTTTTTTAAATTTCATTTGATGACGTTTTCACCCTACAATGATTTTGCTGGAACGAATTAACATCGTCAAGTGAGGCACCACTGTAGACTACTACTAATCAGTCAATTTTATTTTGGAACAGATCACTCTATGTGCATTTAGAGGAGAATATGGTGACTATTTAAGATGAAGGATACATTTCCAAAAACCAGTCATGCTATATTTATCTTATCTCTTCATTTGACAGAGTCACAAGCTTGTAAGATGAAAAGAATGCTGTGGATTTAGGGTACTATACGGCATACAGATTTCAGCAAGTTCCTTTAACAAGGCCTCTCACAAGACTTTGACCAAGCTGGTAAAGTGTTGCTATATAATGCTATTGCTAGGTGGATCCACAGTTGATTGACAGCCCTATCTAACAGTTCATTGTCATCCTAAGAGAAAAGTGACAAATGGAATGCTGCAGGGCTCACTCCTCAACCTGGTACTGCTCAACATTTCTATAAATGACTGGATGGGGGGGTGCTCACCAAATCAGCTGATAATATCAAGCTGGAAGAGGGTAGCTAATAATTCAGAAAAACAGGATCAAGATTATGTAAACAGATTGAATAATGGGGCCAGAAGAAACAAAATAAATTTCAACAGCAAAAGATACAATGTTCTATGTTTAGTCAGGAAAAATGAAAAACAGGATCAAGATTATGTAAACAGACTTAATAATAGTCATTGTACGTAGATACATAGCATACCCATACAACAGAATTCACACAGACACCCATAGACCAGACCCACATGCACACACATAAAAAATCCCCAAACACTCCCCACCCACTAAAAATCCCCCACTAAGAATACAAACATCTACACCGCTGGCTAAGCAACACCGTCCGACTGTTCACTACTGGTGGTCTTTAAGCTCATTCTTAAGTGCAATTATAGTTCTGGGATAAAAGGGATAAAAACTATTCTAGAAAATGTGTGGTCCGAGTCTTAATTGTTCTATGAAAAGGATCCAGAGGTCTTAGTAGACCACAAGATAACTGTAGTTCAATAACATGATGGAGCAGGAAAAATAAGTAAAAAAAATGTAAAAAGGGAAAAAGGGAAAAAAATGAATGCACTTCCAGGCTGCATCAACAGTAATGGGATGTAGAAGTGCCACTCTATTCTGCTTTGGACAGACCTCACCTAAAGTATTTTGTTCTTTTCTGAGCACTGTAGTTTAAGGGAGAGATCCAGGGACAATGAGCAAAAGGGTGACTACACAGGGACTTAATCCGCTGTGTGGTCTGCTGTGGGAATGGGTTGGTTCATTCCTCTTGCTGGAGATCAGATGACATAACTGCTAAACCAAACCAGCCCAAACACTCCTTCCTGCACCGTTCTGGGACTCTGTCATGGGATACTGTGTTTTAGGTGCTGGTAGGATCATTTCATGTTGGTTCAATTCCAGCATGTGTGATCACATGGCTTGAACCAAAACAGGTGGCTGGCTGGAGAAGCCACTTAATCGAAAACATCCTCTAAACTCTCCTTTGAAGGCCAACTTTATATTTCTTTCTAATTGTTGCTAAAATATCAGCAATGCTTTGAAAGATTTTCTTTTTAAAAGTTGAGAAACCTTCAGCTGAGATATGAGGAACTTTCTCTTTAAATCTTCCATGCCTTTGGAGGGAAAGGGAGATAAGCTTCCCATTTGTTTTGAATGGTTCTGGTTAATACAGCAAATCAGCAGTGCTTTGACAGCCCTTTAAAATAAAGCATCACTGGTACCTTAGCACTAATTAAAAAGAAATACAAAAAGTTGCCACTCCCCTGCCCTCCAAAGGAGAGCTCAGACGAAGCCTGAGCATAAATGTGAAGCTCTGACCATTAAAGCCAACAACAGGGGTTCTATGCAAGCAGGTTTCTGGATCGCAACTTGTGTTTTACTCACTCGTGTATTAATCACTGAGTCCTCTAGTGGCTATAAATGAACTACACTCTATATTAAGTAGGAACATTTGGTTCCTATGAAAACTGGAGTGTGAAAATTAGGCCCACACATCTTACATAATCGTTGATGTCAAGTCCCAACTGCCAGGATTTCTTAGGTTGTGTTTATAAAAAACAGCACTATTCTTCAGATAATGTGAACAAACTAAGGTTGAATTTATGACATTCAGACAGA